TTTCTCCAGTGCGTGCACGAATCTGTTACCACAATTTACAATTGCTGGTGATCTCTGGCAAGAAAGCCTGATATATTTTTTAGTATGACAACTGAAAAAGAAATTCTAATCAAAATAAAAGAATAATATAAGAGTGAAAAGAAAATTTACATGCAGAAACAACACTTTTGGTTAACTGTATATGAAAATAATGACTTTTGATATGAAAGGAAAAACTAGGTAAACTTATAATCTTGATCTAATCTGTAGTTATGGGGCATTTACAGAAATCTTCAGAGTAAATGGAAAAGTTAACATTTGTTCATATACAAGCTGTTTGAAAACAGTTTAAAAATCTAAATAAATGTACAAAAATCTTGTCTAAAGAAAAAACTACATATCAAAAGTAAAAACTAAAAAGAAACAAAAAAGTGAAAAGTATAGAACCATCATAAAAAGCGTCTCTCATGCGCAGAGAGACTCGGTCCTCTAACTACTTGGGAGACTGAGATGGGAACGATCGCCCTTGGCAAAAAGTTTGGGAGACCCCATCTCAAAAAAAAAAAAAGTGGGCATAGTGTTTCACAAATGTTATTTCACCTTCCGTTTGGCAGGAAGCATAAAATAAAAAGATCATGATTCAGTCCTGCTGAGGCATCAATGTGAAACCCTATCTCTAAAATAACCGGAGCAGAAAGAACTGGAGGCATGGTTCAAGTGGTAGAGCACTTACCTAGCAAGCGCAAAGCTCTGAGTTCAAACACCAGTACTGCCAAAAAAAAAAAATGTCTGTTGTGAGCTGGCGATGTAGCTCAATACTAGAGCACCTTGAAGCTCAGTGCTAGATCACTTTGCCTAACAGGTGCAATACCTGGTTTAATGTCCAGAACCAAAAGAAAAAATGAAATATCTTCTGCCATGAATAAATATACATGAAATATAAAAAACCTGCCACTGTAATGCCAATATTTGGCTGTCCACTTTATGCTCCTTCCTTTACAACACAAATCTTTGAGATAGTATCTTTTCAGCAAAAGGATTAAAATGGTTCTCTCAGATAAAAATTTTACTCTTACCTAACAGACTAGGAAACTGCAGCTATAAGCCCTCCTTAATAAATGGTGAAGGTAAACTATATTTCTGTGATAACTGATAACAACCCCAGCTGAATGGTTTTCTTCTGTCTGTTCCTGAGGATGTGGCGATATCAAAATTCTCTCAGCCTGGATCTGTGTAGGAAAAGAGCTTGACACCCATTGAAACCAGAAATCCCACTGTGAATTGGAAAGCCTCTGAGAAAAGACTCAATATAAATGCATATTCTTTGTGTGGAATTGTTTTCCCATGTTTACAGGTATCTATCAGTCTTTTTGTCTGTAGTTCAGTCTCAGGTGGCTAGAGACTGAGTAGCTGGCGTGTGCTTCCCTACACTCTGTTTGGTCAAAGCACTGCACATCCTTACACACTTGTGCATCATTATGTTCTATTAGCTCTAGAAAAATGTTCATCATTTAAAAGCCCAAAGCTTTTAGCAATTTTTATGGTATACTCTTGAAATATTTAATTTAATATTTAGCTTAATTTAATGTTTAATTTAAAATAATTAATTAGCCTATTCCCTACACACTTTGTAATACAAAGCATTTAACAAGATAAATTCTTTTAAGTGTTTCTTCTTAAATTACTTCCGTTTTTCCTTAAAAAAAAATAAACTCAAGTAAGCTTCAAAACTTTGGGGGTCATACTCAGGTAATAAAAGAACTCTAGTCACTTTGGTAATACAATAGTTTCAATAAAGTAAGTATAAATCCTGTCTCATGTAATAATCACAATACTGGACTTCATTCAAGATTAAAATTTCTCCTCATCCTGCAGGAAAGAAGCCTTCAGTGGGAATTGAGGCTTTGTCTCTACCTACAGCCTTGTATCTCTGATTAACAGTGGTTTCTAAACTGTCAAAGGTCAAAGTGAGGGAAAGTAGAGAAGAATAGTAAAGGCCAACTTCTGTTTTAACCAATTCTTGCATGAGAAGGAAGGAAGGAGAAAGGGAGGGAGGGAAGGAGGGAGGGAGGGAAGAAGAAAGGAAGGAAGGAAGGAGAAAAGAAGAAATCTTTCTGGAGCAGATATTTAGAAAAGTAGAAACTTTATCACTAGATGAAGGAGACTTTTTCTCTTCTTAACCTTCTTCCTCCATCCCCAGTTACCCACTTATCCTCCCTAATAAGGCAAATTTTCTTATTCAACAGGCAGTATTCTCTAGACATTGGTACTTAATGAAACCATTTATAAAAAACCCTTGGAATTGTTTCAAAATTCCAATGTATCTTAGGCTTACCTGATGTGATAATAATATATAAGCAAAGGTTTTTTTAATTTTTTCTATAAGTCATGATGCATTTTTGTTTAGTCAATACTGAATGAGCATTTCAATTTCATAACCACAAGTCCCTGTATCTCTTCTGTGCAGTTCTAAGTTGTTGCTATGTGGTAAGCTTGACTTTCTAGAAAGGAAACAATGATAAATTCTAGTTCTTTTTTTTGCTGGTTCACCTAGTTTCTAAAATAATTTACTTTGATAATGTATAACTCCTCATTAAAGACATATATTACTGATGGACTGGCTTATCTTTAAATAAGTTATTTAAAAGAATTTATAGTTTAAAGTAACAACAAATTATAAACCATATGTAGAACACTATCTACAAATTACTTTTTAAAATATCTACTCTAGTTAGAATCTTTTGCAAACTTGCTAAGTTTTATACCCAGAGTTAGGTACCTCTATGATGGTATTTTCTCACTATCCTGGGGAAAGTCCCTCCACCCACAAGCACCTTTGGCAGTAGGTGGTCTCTAGCTTTGCTGACTCCTAAAGGTTTAATTTTTAAATATATATTTCTGGTCTTTGCACATTTCTGCAGAAATGCCTTGCTAGGTATCTTGCTTTTAATTAAGTCTTCCTTAGCTAACTCCTGCATCTGGGTTGGTCTTTTCAACTGCATAACCATGGAAAATCTACCTCACTATGGTACCTTTATGCCAAACTTCATTTCTTAAGATGTCTTGTTTTAATCAAAACAGTTATGTGCAGCTTTTTTAGGCATAGTTAAGCACTGGTATTTTCTCTCTCATAAAGGGATAGTCACCTGGATTGCTCTGTTAATATCTAGCAAGTGTTCATTCTTCAGTATTATTCTTTCTTATCCTTTGAGTGTTAACTGTACTAAATTGACAGTCCCAAGTCATGCAGTATTTTATGAAACACTTGATTAGAGGGGCTACCTTAAAATAAATAAAAGCAAATTTTTAAATGGTTTTGAACATTTAGAAATTTAGCAAGCTGATCTTTGTGATTACTTAAATTCAGTTCATTTATATATAAGCCAAAGTCAGATTTTCATGTTGGTCTATTTTCTTGAAGCATTCTTTAAAAATTTTGACAAGTCTTTGAAGTAAAATTCAACAGCTTTAAGGACACTTAATTTAATTTTCTTTTTATATCTTCATCATGCTATGGTGAAAATAAGAATATTTTCATTGCAAAGTTTAATATAACCTTTGTGCTATATTTCTGCTTTTAAAAAGGATTTCTCTTAATCATTTTTAAATCCATCTTAAGCTATAAATGTATTCATTATTCTGTCACTCTATGAGTCTAATGGAAGAATAACAGCTGTTGTCTGGTCTCTAAATAACTGCAATAGGGGTTTTCAGAGTAATGTAGAGACAGTATCAGAACAGCACAAGCCACAGACACAATGCAAAATTAATTGAAAATTGGTGATCTGAGAGTTGGAGACACTTTTATGGCATGTAGACACTTTTATGGCATGTAAACACTTGTTCAGAAGCTAAAATAACAGTGATTCATTAATCCAATAGAATTTCCTCTTCTGGCATCTAACAGAAATGTTAATTGATTATCAATCATTACCTTATAATAAAAGGGCTGAAGTTTGCAATTCTGAATGTATAGCCAGAAAAATTATGTGAGAGATATAAATGTTATTAAAAAAAGACAAACCACTTCAAGCTAAATTGTTTTAAATTACATTGACCTCATCCCTGTACCTTTGAAACCTGTCCCTAATTAAAAGCAATTGATTCACTCTTCCATCTTTCTCCTAAAGGCTATCAGATCTCAAATTCGAAAGGTTAAGAGCTCCTTGCCAAATTATTCTGCAGTTGGGCTTCCCTTTGAGATTCTTAAATGATGACTAAGGCACAAAACAGATAAATAAAATAGTATTCAATGAATCTAACCTTAAAAATTAAAACGACATCTTGTTCCCATTGGAGAAGGTGGTAAAATTGAAGTACTTTTTGCCATAAAACCATTATAGCACAAAAACTTGGAAAAGCTGAGACATCAAAGTGAGATCTGAGAGGGGCCACCTTGCCAAAATTCAAGTTTCTCATCCACATCCAGAATAAAAAGGTCAAGTTTCTGGAAATTAAGACTGTGAAGAAGACTTCTTGGAAAGATTGTGCTGCATGGTAAGCATGATGCCCATGGGAGGGCAGGGGCATGAGTATCTACTGCACTGCTCAGCTCAGCTCTGGCTTCAGGATTACTGGAACCCTCAGAGGACTTGACAGGTGTTCACTGGAGCAGGGGGACATAACAGGTTGGTGTAAGCCTCACAACTGACAAAATGAAAACATGAGAGATGAGTCAAGTGGTCCGTGTTAGAAAAGGGAGACACATCTAGGAATTATATGCTCTCTTTTTCAAAGGCAAATCAAAGGTCCCTAAATCTCAGAGCCCAGATGGAGCCCTACTCAGAAGAGAGCCTAAAAGACACTGGGGAATATGCTGGCCTCATAATGCGAAATTGCATTGGTGAGGTCCAACTGCAAATTACAAATATCTTAGGTGGAGATAACACAAGCAACCTTACGGCAGTATCAATCAAGCAGTAATTCCCTGCATCCCTTTTCCTCCTGTACCTTCATGCCCCAAATAGTAAGAGATCATAAACTTCAGTAAGCAAGAATAAAAGAATAATAAAATCACTCACTGGAGAAGAGTGAATCTCTTCCCACTGTCTTGCAGATTCTCTCCTGCACCAGGCCCTAGTTGGGTGAGAAGAAAAGATTTAATACTTCAACAAGCTTGGAGTTGTGATTATTTCCCGGACCAGAAAATTTATACTACTAAATCAAGGCTGTGTTAACAACTTAAAGCTACATAAGAACTTTGGTCACCTAAGAAACTAGGAGCTGGGCTCACGCCCAGCAGAGATCAGAAAGATCAAAGTTCAAGGCCAGCCTGGGAAAATAGTTCACATTACCCTATCTTGAAAATTCCCAACACAAAAAAGGGCTGATAGTAGAGTAGAGCACCTGCCTAGCAAGTGTGAGGCCCTAAGTTCAAACCGCAGTACCACTAAAAATAAAAAGAAATGAAACTAGGGAGGCCCTTTTGCCTGTCCTGTCCTTCATCCCAGTTGATAAATGGGAAACCAACACACCAAACAAATTTTAAAGGAAGAGTAGCGAAAGCAGTAAGTTTGGTTTAATTATTATATCCCTGAATTCTGGTTTTTTAATATCTAAGTACACAATGATTTTTAATTTAAATATTGTTTTATTAAGATATTTTATATTAACATTTTACACTATGAATTCCCTTACAAAATATAAGATTTTAAAAGATGAAATAAATTATATTTCTAAATGTCTTGGTAATGACAATGACCTCTTATTAAAATTAATATGTATAAATTCATGTTTAAATATTTTTCTTGAAAATTCTGAAATCAGGGTGTCTACTCTCTTCCAGTCTGATTACACCAATGCTGTTTTCATCTCATTACATGGCTGATAATAGCTCCTGCTAGAAATAGGACAAGTATTGGCTCTGTCCCTTTCTTGTCTTTTACTTGCACTTTGTTTATTAGTATTACCTATGAATCATCATTTCTTAAGAATTTAGTTAAGATACTTGGACATTTTGTACTACGATGCTAAAACTAGAAAATGTAACTTGTAATCTGTGTAACTGGGCTTTCATAAACTGCCATGTATCATAATGCACTGCAAGGTAAGTGTATTACACAGCTTTGCTGGCAATCACCTTAGAATCCTCTGCATTATGGAACTCTCTCTCTTTCTTCAGGGTTGCCTAATACCAGAAGAGAGATTACTGGAAAACCAAAGAAGTTAATGATTCAAAGACCCTCAGTTTCTTTCTTTTTTTTTTTCATTTATTCACATATATTACATTGTTTGGGTCATTTCTTCCCCCTGTCCCCCTCCCCCACCGTCTCCCCTCCCTCCCCACATAGTTTCTAGGCAGAACCTGTTCTGCCCTTATCTCTGATTTTGTTGAAGAGAAGACATAAGCATAATAAGGAAGACATAGCATTTTTGCTAGTTGAGTTAAGGATAGCTATATAAAGAGATTCCTAGCATTGCTTTCATGTACAAATGTGTTACAACCCAGGTTGATTCATCTCTAACTGATCTTTACACTGGTTTCTGATCCCCTTCTCATGTTGACCTCTGTCTCTTTAAGGTTTCTGTGTTAGTTCCTCTGGAGTGGGGACATCAAATGCTTTCATGTTTTGGGTGTTCTCCCCTTGTCATGTGATCCAAGTCCAACAACATTGCTGCATTTGCCCTAGATCTAAAGACCGCATATGAGGGAGAAAATACAATTTTTGGACTTCTGATGTTCTCAGAATGATGTTCTGCAGTTCCATCCATTTACTTGCAAATGATAAGATTTCATTCTTCTTCATGGCTGAGTAAAATTCCATTGTGTATAAATACCACATTTTCTTGATCCATTCATCAGTAGTTGGGCATCTTGGTTGTTTCCATAACTTGGCTATTGTGAATAGTGCAAAGACATTCACTTTCAAGGGCCCCTGCCACAATTTATTTGAAACTACTATTTCTTCCCACTACCATTTTCCCATTTATCAAACATGGCTTCATATCAGACGGACATGCTGACAGTTCAACAGCAGGCATTTTTGTGAGTCTAAGTGGAAGTAGAATGGGATGTATTTAGTTTAGGCTCACAATGTTTTTTTTTTATCAGTTTTTTTAGTATTGGAGATGGAATCCAAGGCCTCACACTTGCTAGGCAAATACTCTACCACTTGAGGTATGCCTCCAGCTCTTTAGTTTTAATTAATTTTTAAGATGGTATATCACTGACTTTGCCTAGGCTGCCTTCTAACTCATGATCCTCCTGCCTCTACCTCCCAAGTAGCTAAGATTACAAGAATGTGCCACTACAACTTTTTTTTCAATTTTTCTTATTGTCTACTAACTGTACAAACAGATGGATTTCATTATGACACTTCCATATATGTATATAATGCACTTTGATCATATTCACCCCTTTATTACCCCTTCTTATCTCCCTCTCCTATCTTCTTTTCCCTTTCCAGATCCCTAAAATCCCTGTTTTACTATCATGTCCTTTTTTTCCCCCTAAATCCCACATATGAATAGAAAACATTCAATCCTTATCTTTGTGAGAATGGCTTATTTCACTTAACATGATGATCTTGAGTTTCATCCATTTTCCCACAAATGGCATAATTTTTCTTTATGGCTGAATAAAACTCCATTGTTTGTATGTATCACATTTTCTTTACCCATTCATTCATAGACAGGCATCTAGGTTGATTCCATAATGTAACTATTGTGAATAGTACCAACATAAACATGTGTGTGCAGATATCTCCACAGTAAACTCACTTTGATTCATTTAGGCGTATAATCAGAAGTAGTGGACTGGCTTACATGGTAGTTCTATTTTTAATTTTTTGAGGAACCTCCATACTGATTTCCACAGTGGCTATACTTGTTTATATTGCCACCAGCAGTGTATCAAGGTTCTTTTCCCCAATGTCTTCACCAACATTTGTTATTTTTTGAATTCTTGATGATAGCCATTCTGACTTGGGTAACATGAACTCTCACTGTAGTTTTGATATGTGTCCCTGCTGGATAAAGATGTTGAATATGTTTTCATGTATTTATTGGACATTTGTATTTCTTGTTCGAAAAGTGTCTGCTGGATGACATGATCTTATACCTAAGAGACCCAAAAAAAACTCCACCCAAAAACTCTTACTAGATACCATAAACAGCTTCTGCAAAGTAGAAGGATACTAAATCAACTTACAAAAATTAGTAGCCTTTCTATACATCAACAATGAGCAGATTGAGAAAGAATAGAGGAAAACAATTCCATTTACAATAGCTTCCAAAAAGAAAAAAATCAAATACCTAGGAGTAAACTTAGCAAAGAATGTAAATGACCTCTACAAGGAAAACTACAAACTACTGAAGAAAGAAATCAGAGAAGACTACAGAAGGTGGAAAGAGCTCCCATGCTCATGGATTGGCAGAATCAACATAGTAAAAATGGTTATGCTAACAAAAGCAGTCTACGTGTTCAGCACAATTCCCATCAAAATCCCAATGACATTCTTCACAGAGATTGAAAAATCTACCCTAAAGTTCGTTTGGAAACACAAAAGACTGCAAATAGCCAAGGCAATACTGAGCAAAACGAACAACACTGGAGGTATCACAATACCCAACTTCAAACTATACTATAGAGCCATAGCAATAAAAACAGCATGGTACTGGCACGAAGACCAGTGGAACAGAATAGATGACCTGGATATGAATCCACTCAGCTTTGCCCACCTAATTTTTGACAAAGGTACCAAAAACATACAATGAGAATAGACAGCCTTTTCCACAAATGTTGCTGGGAAAACTAATATCTCCATGCAGAAAACTGAAACTAGATCCATGCTGTCACCTTGTACAAGTATTAACTCAAATTGCATTAAGGACCTTAATATCAGACCTGACACCTTAAATCTAGTATAGGAAAGAGCAGGGAATACACTTGAAGCAATAGGCATAGACAAGGACTTCCTCAGTAGAAATCAAGCAGCTCAACAACTAAGAAAGAATTGACAAATAAGACTACATCAAATTAAAAAGCTTCTGCACAACAAAAGAAATTGTCTCTAAATTGAAGAAGCCACCCACAAAATGGAATAAAATCTTTGCTAGCTATACATCAGACAAGGAACTGATAGCCAGAATATACAGGGAGCTCAAAAAACTAAACTTCCCCAAAATCAATGACCCAATAAAGAAATCGGCAACTGAACTAAGCAGAACTTTTTCAAAGGAAGAAGTCCAAATAACTAAAATACACATGAAAAAATGCTCACCATTCCTGGCCATAAAGGAAATGCAAATCAAAACCATGCTAGATTCCACCTCACTCCTGTTAGAATAGCTACCATCAAGAACACCACCAACAGCAAATGTTGGCGAGGATGCAGGGAAAAAGGAACCCTTATACACTGCTGGTGGGAATGTAAGCTAGTACAACCACTACGGAAAACAATATGCGGTCTCCTCAAAAAACTAAAAATAGATCTGCCATACTATCTAGCAATACCACTCCTAAGGATAAATCCAAAAGAATATGAGTCAGGTTACCACAAAGGCACTTGCACACCCATGTTTATTGCAGCACTATTCACAATAGCCAAACTATGGAAAAAAGATGCCCCACTACTGATGAATGAATTAAGAAAATGTGATATTTATACACAATGGAATTTTACTCAGCCACAAAGAAGAATGAAACTTTGTCATTTGCAGGTAAATGGATGGAACATCATCTTAAGTGAAGTTAGTCAGGCTTAGAAGGCCAAAAGTCACATGTTCTTCCTCATATGCAGATTATAGACCTAAAACAAATGAAGCAATATTACTGGCCACAGGTCACTTTAAGGGGAGGCCATGCACGGTAGGAATAGGGAAAGGGAAGGAAACCAAAAACTTGAATGTGGTTGATGTGCTCACTGTGTAGGAATGAATAAAGTAATCTTAAACTGACTGAGGCCACTATGGGAAGGAGACTAGGGAGTAGTGAAGAGGACTGGTAGAGATGAACCAATTTGGGTTGTAATACATGTATGCATGGAAATAACAGAAGGAATCTCCCCGTGTAGCTATCTTTATCTCAAACTAGCAAAAAAGCCATGTTTCTCTTCTTATCTTTTATGTTTTTTTCT